GCAGAGCCGCTTCTAGGGAAGACCGCTGACCCACAGCCCCAGCCACCTCTGCCACCGTCTCTGACGGAGCGGTGAGGCTGTTTAGGGGCACTTACTCACCCCGCGAATATCCCAGTAACCCAGAACCATAGACGACTTGGAAGACATGATGAAACCGTCCGCTTGTCTTCCAGGACAGGAGGTTGAGTGTGAACGGCGCGGGTGGGAGTGGGGCTTTATACCTCACTGAAGTGGGCGTGGTCAATGTGACCTTCTGACTCCACCCCCCAGCCGTCTCACCCCGCCCTCTGCGCGACGTCATGGTCACGCGCAAGCTCCCTCTCTGCCTATATACCCCCTGCGCGCGGCACAGCGGGTGTTTTGAGACTGCTGGGAGGTTGAGTCTCTGCTCTGAAAGCTGGAGTCGCGCTACATTCCTTAGTAGTGCTAGGCTGGGCGGGAAAAGCATCCACGCCCAAGCAGTAGGGACTTTGTCCAGGGGGAGCGAGATTCGTGCTGCATTTACCAAACTGAGGTAGAGAGGGGGATTGTTGCAGTCCCTGAGAGGCGGGCCAACTCCGGCCAGCAGGGAATCTCCATTTTTGACTTCCTTTTTGGAGTGTCAAGGGCTAGGGAAGGGAGGCATAAATGAGAAGAAACCCAGATTACTCAAACCCATAAAAGTCTCACCTGAAATACTTTGGAGAGAGATAATCTCTTCTGGTCAGGACAGAGAGTGGATCTGAGAAGGCTTAAAGGAGGAGGTGGGCATTAGAGTAAAACCGCTGAGGAAGGATAGGCCGCGGAAACTGGGAATGCTGCAAAGGGCATTCGAGGCAAGAGGACGGTAAAGCAGACACCGGAAGGTGAAAAATGCAAGGGCCTATAGAACGAACAGCAAATACTGTTAAGTTAGGCTGGTTTAGGAGGCTGTGATGGGGAGGGAGCGATCTGGTTGGAAAAGCATATGGGGGTCAGATTGCAGATGGCCTGAACTGCCAAAGGGTGTGGTTTTTTCCTTTCTGTTCTGTGTGTGGGGAGGTCTAGTCTAGATCATGCTATCCAACAGAAACGTAACGCGAGCCATACATGTGAGTTAAAATTGTTTTTGTATATGGTAAAAATAAATAGGTAAATTGATAGACTATTTTACTTAGCCCAATATATCCAAAACTGGTATAATTTTAGCATGTAATTAATGTTAAAACTATTGAGATATTTTCTATTCTTTGTATTCTGTTGTCTTCAAAACGCAGAATGTATTACACTTAGTACACATTTCACTTCAGGCTAGCTACGTTTCACCTGCTCAGTAGCACGTGCCACTCATGACTACTCTATGGTCGTAGTCCCCAGTCTTTTTGGCTCCAGGGCCCAGCTTTGTGGAAGACAGTTTTTCCACAGACCTTAGGCTGGGGATGGCTTAGGGATGATGCCGAGGAGAGTGCAACCTAAATCCCTGGCTTGTGCAGTTCACAGTAGGATTCATACTTCTGTGAGAATCTAATGTCAGCCCTGATCGGACAGGAGCTCAGAGAGTAATGCTAATGTTTGAGAACAGCTGTAAGTACAGATGAAGCTTCACTGGCTCACCTCCTGCTGTGCAGTCACATTCCTAACAGGGTACAGAACAGTCCCAGTAGGAGGCCTAGGGACCCTTTGATTGGACAGTGCAGATCTAGTAGATGCTTTGTTGAGGTGGATGATATTGACAGTCTCTTTTAGGCAAATTAATTTAGTTTCTTGGTGTAGAGTTGACCAGAAAAGGGCACATACTGCCTTTTTTCATGTACTGGTTCATCCATCCATTCATCTACACAGTAGTATTTACTAGCATGCCTCTTATGGACAGGCATTGTTTTGGGTTCTGGGGGTAAGGAAGTAAAATGAAAAAAATCTCTGTTCCTAAGGCGTGTACCTTCTAATAGAGGGATATAAGTAAATGAACATATAGCAAATATGTAGTAAGAGAATGATACACCTTTTTTGGAGAGAAGTAAAGCAGAGAGGAGAGATAGGGAGTTAGGGTGTCTTTAAGGGAGCCCCATCAAGAAAGGTATTTGTTTTTTAAAGAATGTGTACAAGATAGGCCTCACAGATATTAACCTTAGCAAAGATCTGAAACAGGTGCAGGATCAAGCCATTGTGCTGCAGGGGTTGTGGGTGCAGGAGGAGGCAGAGGAGAACTCCGAGCAGAGGGGAGTGCAAATGGAGGAAGCCATCTCTGTATAGACAGTGTTTAATACCGAGAGCAGAGGAGGCCACTATGAGGGTGAGAACAGCAGTGAAGAGAGGAGGTTTGTGAGTTTAATATTTAGAAGGTGGAAAATGAGAAAGAATCAGCAAAGGAGTCTGAAAAGGAATGACCAGTGAGGTGGGAGAAAAATCAAGTGCCCTGGAAGCCAAATGAAGATTTTTGAAGACATTAGTGAGCAGCTCCATCAAATGTGGCCGGTAGGACAAGTAAAATGAAGACAGAATTAACAGGTGGATTTGGCAATGTGAAGGTCATAGTGATCTTCATAGAAGAAAAGATCTATAGGAAGCCTGTATTAGTTTTCCCATTGCTGGACACAACACCCAATGCCTACAACTTAAAGGAGGAAAGACTTAATTTGGTTCACGTTTTAAGAGGATTTAGGCCAAGGTCAGCTGGCTTTCAGGTAGAAATATCATGGCAGAGGGCATGGTGGATCAAAGATTCTTACTTCATGGTGTCTGGGAAGCAGAGCAGAGGAAGAGTGCCGGGGAGGAAGGGGCAAGGGACCAGACAGCCCCAAGACTGTGCCTCTACAAACCACCCAGACACATGCAGAAGAATCTTCCACCAATCCCCTGGGTGGCCCGTAAAGTCAGTCAAGTTGACACTCAACCCTAAATGCCACAAAGCCCCTATAGTCCTTGGAAGAACTCAGTTTCTGAGTTGGTGCAGGGCCCAGGAGAATGGGAAAGAGGCCCTGACTTATAATAATATCTACAGTGGGAGGGGGGAGGATCTGTGAGCTGGCTGTAGAAGAGGAGGAGTCCAGAGCTGCTCTGAGGGTCCCTACCTGGCCTCCACAGCGTGATCACTTAGGGCTCTGAGCTCCTACTACTCTAGCCAAGGTGTGGGAAATCACATTTGCCCATTGCTTCAGTGGAAGCAAACTTGAGACTTTTTAAAGGAACATTTTGCTAAAAGAAGAAAGGGGAAAAGTGCAATCGCATAGGGACACCGAAATTTGTAATACCTGGGTTTTCTTTCAAGATAATACAAGGTTGGTCACAAGTTACCTTGCTGTAGAAAACTAGCTCTTACTAAGCACCTACGATGTGCTAGGCAATGGTCTAGGTGTTATATACATGTTCACTAATTTATTCCAACTTAAGCTTTACACAGTTTTGTGAAGTAGGTGTAGGAAAAGAAACTGAGGCCTGGATGATCTGGAGTTCCCATGGGTAACCTGGGGTTCAGACCAAGTTCTGTCTAATACTTTACTTGTGTGAGTTCCATTACACTTAGCTATCTGGATAGCCCCTTACCTCATCCCAGTCTTTTCTGTGAAACACAGGAAAACTGAGCTTTAAAAACTTTTTTATTTTCCTAGTCCTGGAGAGTTTCCCTGGTTTTAGGGCTCCTTCAGCTTCAGGAGGCCCCAAGAACAATAAGTTAATATCTCCTCCATCTGGACTGCTGAGAAACCAGAAAGAGGTGTAGGCCCCAAATCAGAGTCACATACTGTTCTCAGAAAAACAAATTTTTTTAGAAACTTACAACTTACTTCATCCTCCCTAAATTGCTTCCCATGTCCTTGGTTCCAAACTGCTCCATCCTCCAGCTGAACAAGGCTGATCCTGCACAGGCCTCCCTTTGTCTCTCCCAGCTGCACTTCTTGGCAGTGAACTCTGATCTAAATAAACTCTTGCCTTTATCTTTACTTTTGTCTTAGTAAATTCTTTTATTGTCCACATCACCAGTATCTGCAATGCTGTTTCACACAGCAGTCCATTCTGAGAAACAAATTTGCTAATTAAATTTACTCTTAAATCAGAACCTCTTTTTTTTACATATTGTGGGGGAAATTTTTTGCTTTCCTATTTTGTATTACCAGCTACAAGAGATGATTTTCTGAGGCTAAGAAGTTGAAGGAAGGACACAGGCAGTCTAAAAAATAGGGCAATCGGGGCCTCAGACAATGGTGGGATCACAGAACAAATTCAGCTAAGAGAGACTTAAAGAAACATTTTAAGAATTCTCAAGGGAAAAAAAAAAAGAAGAATTCTCAAGGGACTCCTGAATCCATAAAACCTTATCTGTAGATTAAATCAATAAAAGTATGGCTCATGTTAGGAGGAGGCAGAAGTTCTATGACAGTTTTGGGATTAAAGTAGGCTACTTACACTAAAAGCTATTAGAAGTCACAGACAACCTAAAATCTTAACATTAAAGAGAACGGTGATCCAAAGAATGGAATGACTCGCTAGAGTTTACACAGCTGACTGGAGGACTTTTTCCTTCCAGTCCAATGTTCCTTACGCTCTGCCACTGAAGAGGCAAACTGCAGAGGAAACTGACGTTTGGCTTATCTTGTATAGTAGGGGACAAAAGTCACATTGCAAGAGGAAGTTACTAAGTGGAGCCTAGAGAACCTGACTTGGTTATTAGTGCTTCTCTAGATCATCACCAGCATGATGACCACAACCTACAGCTAGCTGTGAGCCTAGCACTCTTTTCTGCTGTGAAATGTTGTGTCCTCATCTGGGCTGGGTGGTTGGACTATACCAGGACATGTGGACGGGGAAGCTTAGAGATGCTTATCAGAGCCCTGTCTTGGAGTTTACTTATAGTAAGGAGAGCTGGACCGTAGTTCTCCAGTTTTGATGCCCAGCTCCAGGTCACAAAGTAAATTCCGTCTTGCATTCAGACAACCTGCCTGCTGGTAGATGTAGCATTGCTGTTTCATGCCCAGCGTCCCAGCCCTTCCTGCCTCCCTGCCTTTGGCTCCCATCAGGCCCAGAAGAAGCTGCAAGGGAGGCACATGACAGGCTTGAAGATACTTTTATTGGGAAGGAGAGGGATTTAATAGACTCCTGCCAAGCCTAGACATAAGTGTGCCAGGCTTAGGAAAGAGGGAAAATAAATAGGTAGTAACTGTGAAGTGTTCCCAACAGAGCAGGAAGGGTACCATTTGCTGCAGCACTTGGGCCTGTTCACTCTCTTGCTGAGTAAGCTGGGCTGGAGGTCTCAGGATGCTAAAGTGTATCAAATATTCCATCTTGTAATGCAAAGTCCTTGGTCTTGGAGGTTTCTGAGCAAGTGTCTAAGGGCTTATCTGATGGAGGAAAAGAATTCAGATGGGGCTGGTGCCAGTTGAGGGAGTCCAAAACCTCATGCCACCAATAAGCTTGGAGTCCCAAGGCACACCTGAATGCAGGAAGACAGACCCTGGAGGAAAATCCTCTACCCAGTACTTGCTGCCCTCAGTTCCACCCAGGGCTGGGGCTGCTGGCTTGCCTCCTAGCACTTATACTCCCACTCAGGTAGGACTAGACCTTTCCAGTGGGGGCCAGGACCCCAGGATGTTCTCACCCCCAGCGTCCTTCTGACCGCCTCCAGCCGGGCCACAATCCGTGGGGCCTCCTGGGGACACAGCATCTGCAGCTCCCCAGGTCTCATGCGAAGTAGCTGGCTTCCCATCATGGACCCAAGGGTCTTTACCGTGCTGTGAACAAAACCAGCAGAAATCACCACTGGTGAGTGAGAAGATGCTGGGCCTGAGTATCTGGGTAGAGAAGGGGCTTTGGGGGCTTGGAGGTTGGGGGTTATGGGAAGGTTCGTGGAGAGGGGTATCTGAAAGTGCAGGAAATTTGTTTGGCTTCAACCAATTCCAGGACTCTGGGTTTGGAGGAAATGCTCTGGAAGAGAATGTTCTGGTGGGGAGGGGCACTCACACAGTGGAGAAGTTCTCCGCCTGCAGCCAGGCTGTGACCTCCTCAGGCCTTGAGCTAAGTCGAAGCATTGGCGCCTAGAATGGGGGTGGGGGTGGGAATCAGAGGCCACTCATCTCACAGGCACACACAGATCCCAATATGCATGTCCCTGCTCTGAGGTCCCCTCAAATCACTTATCTTATCTCATCATTCTCTGGTCGAGCAGTGGCCCTGTCTTATTCTCTGGTCTGGCCCTAAGACAAACTTGACACCCAGTAAACATACAGTAATACTGACTAAATCAAGCCAAGACTGCCCCCCACCACCACTTGTCATTAAGTCCTCCCCACCCCCATCTCTGACCCAGGACATATGGCTTCTGGATAGCCCAGACTGGGTAGTACCCGATGGGATGACTGGCCCTGGCTCCCAGGCGCCCCCGACTGCAGAGGCTCCAGGATATTGCTGGGAATGTAGCCACTCTGTCCTGCCTTGTTCTTCACCAGCCACCACCGCTTGCTCTGGTCCAGAACCTGCCAAGAATCATCACCTCAGTCACCCCAGTCTCTGTCTAGTCAGCCTCCCCTCCCCTACCTGGAAAGGCTGCCCCCCCACCACCACCTCAGGTTTTTCTCTTTCCTTTTTCCTCTCTTGGCCACCCACCCAGGCAGCCCCATGTTCATACTACCCACTCCAGGCAGCTCCCACCAACCACTGCCTCCGTTTCTAGCCTCAAGCCCAGACCTTACCTCCAGCACCTCTCCCTGGACCACAGTCAGTTCCTGTGGGTTCCTTGCTTCAAACTCATACAGCACTTGCATTTTCAGAGTTGGCCTGACTGGTTTGGGGCTGGAGGGACGGTGGTTGGGGTCCTCAGGCTGAAGGCCCTGGTTATATATTTCATCCTCAGCAAAGTGTGGGGTGCTGTTTAATCTAGGACGTCTGCCATGAGAAACAGAGATAGGAAGGCTAGAGAATGTGCCTCCGAAATTGAGCCCAGCCCCAGCCCAGGAGCCCCACATGTCCCCTGACTGCTGCCTAGTGCTGACTTTTTGTCTCCCTTACAGGGTGGTGGCAGAGGTGTTAGGTGGGGTTTGGGGTGGGGCTTTCTGCACATAGGAGGGCTCTGTAGACATTTCCAGCAGTGGAATTTTCTATGTCTGAGCTTTGCTTTGAATATTTTCTACCCGAGCTCTGGGAAATCAGAGGCATGTGTGGGCAGCACCATGAGAAGAAGGGATTGGAGCCTAGGAGGGTACAAAATTGATCACACAACGTAAGGGAGGGGTGCATTTGCACATGTCTGTATCTGGCTAAAAGGGAGCCCAGAGAGTCTCTGAGATGTAGACATCCGGAGATTGAACAGCTAGCGCTGCCCCCTCCCCATGACTGCATAGTCTCTGCTAAGCTCAAGGCATACCCGAGGGAAACAGAGTCCTGGTATCCTACGGGTGCCTGTAAGGGACAGAACAGAGAGTGAGTGAGAGAAGGAGGCAGCCAGCACGGTGATAGGGAATGGGCTATCAGACCACAGCCTACTCCCACACAGTTGCCTCCTGTCCCTTTCCTACTACCCCACAGCAATGGACACAGGTACTCACCCCACCTATTCACCCACCACTTGGTTGTCATGTAATGATGGCTTGCACCGGGAAGGCAGAAACTGGTCAGAGACCAGGGTTTTGGGTGGGGCTCTGTGCCAAAGCATGTCTTACCTGGAAAGAGGACTCTGGAGGCTGCCAGCCATCCGAGAATGTGGGTTGGTAGGGCGGGGGCTCATTGCCTGTCCAGTCAACCCTGTGGGGACAGAAAGAGCTGAGTCCATATCACTCTGTGCTTCAGGGATCTTCTAGCTAATGGGAATGTGGTCCATGTGCTCAGAGGACAGGCTGCAGAACAACCACACAGGGGCAGCTGAGCATGAACAAACCCCATGGTGCAGCCGTCTGAGGGCCAGCTTCTCTGTCCACAAAGCGCAGATACAGCATCTCCCTGGGAGCACGGTGGACACTGCATCACCCAGCTCAAGGGTGAGAATTAAGGTGGTAAAACCCAGAGTGTTAGGGCTAGAAGACCCCTTGGAGTCCAGTGCAGTATTTTTTCTAACCTGCTGGCAGTATCCCAGCGTCTGATCTCTTTCTTTCTAGCTACAGTGTATGGGACTGTTCCAGATGAGACACATCATGGCAGGGTTGCTCTGGTTGGCACTAGAATGGGCCACACTCACCTCTCAGCCTCCCCCTTGCCGACCAGCAGGGCTTGGCTTGCAATGCATGGATAGTTCTACTTGCCAGCCAGGTGCCCACTCACCTCCTTGAGGAAGTCCTTCTCCCTACCTCACTTGTGCAGAGATCAGGATTCCTCTGAACTTGGGAAATCCTTGGGTTGTTGCTCCTCTCAGGCTGTATTGCACATGTTTCCTACCTGTCTTTCTTACCCTATTAAACTCCTTGAAGACTGTCTCCCTAGTACCGTGGCAGGTATAGAGGTGGCAGATAATAAATGCTTATTCAGAGGGAATGCAGAAAATATTTCCTGTTCTGAACCTTCTTCATTGATGACTTCTCTTTGCTTTACAAACATGCTTAATCTTTCCTTGACCCAGTTAGTATTCCTTTTAATCTGTCACCCTACAAACTTCCCCTAACCAAATGCCCTGTAATGTGCTTGTATGCCCTGCCTACACTTGCATTTCTTTGCTTCTGCCATTAGTCCTGCAGCCTGATTTCTACCTCTGCCATTACTTTATTAAACGAGTCCATGATAATTTCCTGACCGTCAAGTCTGGTGGCCTTGTGTGGCCTCTATCCTCCTCAGTTACCATGGCACTTAGGGTTACTTAGAACTCTGGGTCAGGATTGCAAGTTCGGGCCCAGCCTGGGCAATTTAGCAACTTAGTGAGATCTTGCCTCATGTATAGTTTTCCTAAGGTTTCCAATTCTTGAAGGAAGGCTGAATTTTGGAACACAAAATGATATATTCAGCATGGTTACTCAGTGTTAAAGTGGCTGAATAAAAATATTTGAGGCCCTTTTCTTGGAATCCACTGTAGAGCCTCTGTTTCCTTCCCTTACCAGTACAGGGCAGATGCCAAAGCTGTCCCCACAGGCACGGTGAGCCCAGCAGAGCCTCAGGAGCCGGTGGGCTGGGACACTGGTAATCCAGTGTTCCAGGCAACTGAACACTGCTATGAAATGGGTGGTCTACCTTAGAATCCATCCGTTATTTCATTTAGTGATTAAATTGAGACAGCGCATTAAAAATAGGTTACTTGGGCTATAAACAATTCAAGTGTCCATTGAGAAATGAAGGGATAAACATGCAATGGAATCTATTCAGCCATGACAAAGAAGGGAATTCTGACACATGCTACAACACAGATGGACTTAAGGACATGCTGAGCAAAATAAGTCAGTCAAAAAGGAGAAACAAAGCCTGATCCCACTGATATGAAGTATCTGGAAGAGCCAAATTTATGGACAGAAAGTAGAATAGTGGTAACCAGGGGAGAGCGGGTAATGAGGATCATTGTTTAATGGGTATAGATTTTTTGTTTGGGACAATGAAAAAGTTCTGGAAATAGATCTAGTGTTGGTTATATAACATTGTCAATGTACTTCACTCTACTGAATTATATACCTAACGTGACTATAATGGTAAATTGTATGTATACTCTACCATAATAAAAATACATTGTATTGAACCAATTCCTGTCTTTAAACAAAGTAGACAAAAACTCCTTTAAATGGACTGAATTGAAAAGAACTGATCATTAGGCAAAAGACTCACTAGAAAAGCTGGCTTATTTCTCTGTTGACTGTCTTTCTAAAACCCTTTGCTCTCTTGATTTTCATTGCTTTGCCCTTTGCTCTCTCTCTCTTTTTTTAATAGGGTCCCACTGACTCACTAAGTTTCCCAGACTGAGCTCAAACTTGGAATCCTCCTGCCTCAGCCTCTTAGTGCTGAGTTATAGGAGTGTACTACCATATCAGGTACCTTTTTGCCTTCTTGACCCTTTTGCATTTGCCTCTATGTAACAGTTTCCCGAGGCCCTGCCCTTCTCCCTCATGGAAAAGACAGATGTTTGCTTAAGCAAGTTCTGGGGTGGCCCCTGGAGTGCTTCGCAGTTCACACTGTCACTTCCCTCCTCTTCGTTCTACCGCACAGCCAGGCATCCTCCACCCAGGGGCCTGGCCGCCTGGCCTCTGTAATGGTCCTGCTGACCCCAGGGCTCAGCGAATCCAAGCCGGTGTCATCCCCACTCCCTGCGGCTCTCATCAGATCGGCTTCGTGTCCAGAGACCCATCTCAGTTAGTGACCCATTTTAGTTACACACCTCAGTGGGCTGAGGTCTGTCTTTCTATCTCGTAGTCAACTGGCTGCCATAGTTTTGATGTTGCATTTACAGAATCTCTTAAATCAGTAAATCTTAAATTCTGGGCTGGATTAAAACAAAGTTTTCACTTTATCTTTGCTAAAATGAGAAAATATTTTAGCAGGTTTGTGTCTCTACTTTCCTGGGCAGAATTATTCTTTCTTTGTTTTTTTTTTGAGATAATTCCTTCCTTCAGTTGTGGGTAGAATTGGTGTGTTTTTTGTTTTAAACTGATCACAAATGAAAAGTGGAGTACAGTGCCCCAAATGGTTTGAGATATTTCTGATTGGTGATAAGGAAGCACCTGGACACCCCTCGTGTCTTGCTCTGGCCCCGTGCTCCCCACTCCTGGTTCACTTCAAGCCTTGTTTTCACTTACAGGCTGGTGGTCCAGGCCGTTCCCAGCCCCTTCCAGAGGTTACTCTCAGGTGGGCTTAGACAGGACTGCAGCAGGTCGATGGCTTTAGGGGTGAGGAGGGGTGAGATCACCTGAGCTGCGAGGCTATCCTCAGGGCACTGCGTCAGGATCTGGGGGAGGGATAGAAGGCATCAGGAAGCCTAGGCCAGATGGAGTGGGAAAGGGTCCAGAGTCTTCAGCCCTGCTACCATGCTTCCAGCTGGTCTCCCTTAGAGCGCGGGTGCCCTTGGCTCTGACCCCAGCTCACCAAGTCTGTTAGAGGGTGCCATGTACCACAGGTAGGAGTTTTGGGGGTCCAGTTTGTGTTGGGTTGAACAAGAGGCAGACCTCACAGCCTCCTTCTGTCCCCTTCCCCAGCCTCTGATCCTTCCTTTGCTCTTTCTTGACCTCCACCTGCCCCTCTTAGATATCCCATGCTCCCCTTACTCACGAAACTCAGCGTCTGGAAGAGAATGTGCACGAACTCAGGGGCACTCGTCTCCTGAAGCCTGATGGCCAGCTTCCCCTGAGGACACAGGGTAATGTCTGTCACCGCCTTTTATCCTATGACATCTTCATCAGGACCCCAGCACCCCACAATTGTTTTATGCCTTGGCTGGGAGCATGGCCTTCTCCAAAAGTGCCAGGAGGAGGGGAAGCTGTTGGAGAAGGGAAAGGCTGGGGATGGGCAGAGAGCAGGGGAAGAGGGCTGGGGACTTGCAGGAGACACGGACCAGGAGGTTGAAGCTGTACTTGATCTTCTGAAAGCAGTCAATGTACTGTTCCTGGGTTATCCCTGCGGGAGAAGAGGCAAAGGCAGGGTCACAGATCATCCCAAGATAGCCCACTCCTCTCCCCTGGCCCTTAGCACTCACCCCCCTGAGTCTTGCTCTTCTTTCCAAGTTTTCTCTTCTTCTTATGGCTGGCCTTTGCCTGAGCCTCCTTCAGCCTTCCTGTGAATAGCTCGATGTCCCTTAGGACATGGTTCAGCACTTCCTGAGCCCCAAGAACCCATGACCGTGAGTGGGCAGTTAGGATCACGCTGGAACTCCTAATCTTGCCTCCGCCCCCTACCTGCCACAAACCCCCACCTCAGACCCAGCCTTGGGTCTGACCAAGCTCCCCTGTCCCTTCTCAGCCCGAGCTTTCCCTGGCTGCTCTGGGGCTCTAGTCTTCTTGGAAGAGTGAGAGGGTTCCTGTCCTCCATTACTCCAGGTTCAGAAAGCTTCAGCAAGCCCAAAACCATGTGTAGTTACCTCATCCCTCCCTGGGTTCTCAGGGGATGGTGACCGCCTTGGAGGAGACAGAGCAAAGGCGCTTGGTTCTTGGGCAGCAGGGTAGTGTGGCAGAGGCTTCGGGGGTGGTGGGATGTCTGCAATATAAGCGGATCATGGGCCCGGAGCTGCTTTGACTTTTGATCTAAACTTTCTCCACCTGCCCACAAATCTCAAACTTACTGCGCTCTGGGGTCATTCGGTGGGGCTGTTCTGGAGGGGAATCCCGCTCTGGAGGGGGAGCCTGCTCCGTAGGGAGAGGCCTTTCCAGAGGAGGTCCCTTCCATTTCTCCTGGCCTGAGTAAAGGCTCCCAAATCGAGGTCTGCTGAAGACATGGTGAAGAATGTGTCTTTAAAGAGATTCTTGGGAGAGAGAGTCCTCTCCCCAGAAATCCCACCCCTGCTCCCTGCTCTGTATCTGGACCTTCCCAGACTCCATTCTGCTTCATCTGCCTAGTCCCCAGGCCTTCTTGGGTCCAATAGCAGTCTCCGGGGACAGTCCTCAGTGCCTCGTGGGCCCAGTCTTTTCCCCATCCCCAATCTCTGCCCTGCTTTTACCTCAGTGTTAGGCCTGGCTGACTGTGCTCGGGGCTCCTGGGTTCCCCAAGGTGTGGGGAAGTCAGGGTCTGGCTCCCTGAGGCCTAGGCTATGAGGTTTCACATGTGGCTGGGCAAAGGCTGCCTACCTGTGCTCCAGCTCCTCCTCGAGGGCCTTTTGCAGGCTGGTCCTCAGCCGCTGTGCCTGGAGGAACCAGCAGTCAGGCAGGTTGGGGTGCGTGTTTGTGTGTGTGTGTGTGTGAGATGGTCAGCGAACCCCACTCCTGGCCACTCACCCCTACTTCCTGGCACTGGAAGAGCAGAGTGCTGGTGCCGGGCAGGCCAGACTCCTGCACAGTGATGGACAAGACAGAGTTGTAGGAGCAAGTGTTGAGAGCCACATCCATGGCCTTGATGTTATCCAGGCGGTAAGAGTCCAGCTCCTCCTGGGTCAAGCAGACAGGTTAAGTGTGAGGCCACTGAGAGCCGGGTCTAGTTTCTGGGAGCTCTTGATGTGGTCGTCCCTGCCCTCTGGTGGCCTGGGGGAGGGTGCCATCCACCTGACTCTTGTGCCTCTGTCCCAGCCCCAGCCCCTGTTCCTTCCTATGCCTGTGTGTGTTGTATGTGGGGAGGGGTGGCTATTGTTTTGGCCATGGAGGAGTGGAGTAGAGGAGCCTGGGTTGTGTAAGGCTCACCACTGGCTTTCGTGAGAGGGCTGACCTTGGTCTCAATGTCCAGCAGCTGGAGCCAGCCCTCTTTGACCTGCAGGATCAGGTCTTGGCTCCACACCCGGCCCTGTGCGTCCATCTCCTGTAGCTTCTGCAGGACATCCTTGGGCTCTTGGATTCTCTGTGTTCCCAGCTTGCATGTCATCAGGTGCTAAAGGGAGAGGAAGAGGGTCAATGGGAAGAGTTTGGAGAAAGAGTGCCAGGTGTGGGAGGCCAAGGGGAAAGACAGAAGAGAAGGAATGCATGTCCTTCTTCCCCGTATTTGGAGGTCCCAGGCTTCCAGTGGGGCACCCTTTAAGGTCAGTGTGAGGGCCAGTGTAGAAACAGTTGGGCTAGGGGTGGGGTATCCAGGCCTGCATCTGAGGTACTGCATGAGAAGTTTTAGGACTCCAAAGGATGGACAGTTGTGAGGTGGCTGGGCTAGAACCACCCAACAAATGATGCCTGAATTCCTAAGGAGGAGGGGGCACCTCAGGTCTGTCCTTGGCTTCCTTGGCTGCATTTGGGAGCTGACCGCTCAGGCAGGTCTTCCTCATCAGTGACCCAGCATTCCTATCTCCCTGCCTTTGTCATACTGCTCTCCACGGCCAGAAGTCTTTCCCACCTGGGCAATCCAGCACCTTGGGTCTCTCCAGAGGATCAAGCCCCTCCTCTGATTCTAACTCGAAGATCACAGGGATCTGTCTCCACTCAAGACCTTGTCTACCGCTAGCCTATCATTCGGTGGGTTTTGTCCTTATCCACCATTCTGTAGGCATCCTCCCTTCTCCCAGCCACATGCTGCCATCACGAGCTGCCCCCTTTTCAGTCCGGTTTCCGTTCCAGGGGGTGCGGTCTGCCTTCTGCCATTCAGTGCTCCATCCCAGCGCAGAGCCAGGTCCTCTCCCTACTTCCACGCTGCTGGCGGTTCAGGGGACCCTGGCATCCCATCATGTGGAAGGGGTCTTCTCTTGCTCGCTGGGCCTCAGTGAAGCCAGTTCACCAACAGCTTCAAAAAAGGCCAAATACTCCTGACCTCTCCCCAACGAGCTGAGGGACCCTATCTCCACTGCCTTATGGCGTTGTCAGATCTCGCCCCAGTGTCACGCCCTGCTTTGTCTCCACTGCAGTCCTAACACCTGAGACGGCCAAGGTGAGGGCAGTTTCTCCCCCACACCCTGTGCTGTGGCCCAACACATCCTCAGTGATGTGTGCTTTTCTGGCCACACCCTTGCAGCCTGTGCTTTGCGTTCAGTGTGCTGTTGACACCCCTTTAGGTAACTGGAAGGTAATCTGGTAGGTAACCTGGAAGTGTCATCATCCTCCTGGGCAGGGCCAGAGACTCCATTCTAGTAATGCAGCCTGCCAGAGAGCTCAGTCTCAGACATACCCCCCTCTTCCACATGGCCCACTCAAACCCTGGAGGGCTGCAGCCCTCGTACCATTCTTTCTCTAGCCATACCTGGTCCTGAGCAAAGAGCAACTGTGGAAATGGGTGCAGCAAGAGGTGGGTAAGGAAATAAATGGGGTTGGGTGGGGTGATTCTAGGTGCTTCCTGACCTAAATTTCTGCTACCCCTTTCGATCTAGGAACCAGATATCTACCCCCTCACCCTCCCCTGCTTGGCCACCCCTCCTCCTCCCTGCATGTAGCAGGTGCTCAGTTAGGCTTTAGACTTTTTGGAACCAAGTCCACAGAATTTGGCCAGGTCAGACTCTTGGTTTCCACAGCAGGGCCATGCATGTTGTGTTTTGGGAGGGTTGTGGCCACACAGGAACTCTTAGTTTTAGTCAGAAACCACCTGAGGCCCCAGAGGTACTCACCTCCACCCTGTGCTGCAGAAGGGTGGGCTCTGAGGTCAGCCTCTGGGAATATTCTTTCCGGTGCACTGTGGGATAAAAAACCAGGGACGGGAAGTGCCAGAGGGGTGAGGAGAAGTTTAGACGATTGCAGGAGTGGTCAGCATGGGGAGGAAGAGGTCAGAGGCTAGGGGGAGCGGCAGGGAGTTCAGTGTAGCCAAGAGCTGAGTGAGCAGAGAAGAGGGCGTGGGGGAAGCTTACAGTAAATGGCTCTGCTGCTGGGCCGGGACATGTTGATGCTGCTGAGTACAGCTCCCTAAAACCCCAAGAGAACCGAGGACAGCCGTCAGAGCTAGGAAGATGAGCACCAGCCACATCCGGGCAGAAAGCTGCTATTGCTCCCACCTAGAGCCTCTGGGACCAGGCACAAAGCCCCTGGTTCCAGAACCATCTGCAGGCAGTGACCTCACCCAGAGAGCGCTTCAACTTAGTTGTTCCTAGAGGTCCTGAGCTAGGGACAGGAGGGCCTGGGAGACCACAGCTCAGCTGGACCACAAGACAGGCCCTGGGCCTCCCATTATTTGGATCTATGGCCTGGGCATGCTGTGAAAGATGCCAGATGAATGAGCTACACCCACTTCTGAAGGGCAGACAGAAGGCTCGGCAGCTTTCCTGCCTTCTTCAGCCCCACTTTGATTTTGCGGGGAGGGAGGAAGCTGATGCTAGCCCCTAAGCTGAGGACATTCTCAGAGAAGGACGTGCATTCACCTGTCTGTGAGGGAGCTCGGTAGGGCCTGTGGGTGATCTGCATTTCCCCAAGTGTCTGGCAAATGTCTCGGTTTATTTGTCTTCTCTGTTTATATATTCTTTCTCGAAGACCTTCTCTCTCTCAGCCTTTGAAATCTAGCTCATGGACCTCCTCCCTGACGAAGCTCTCCTTGGCCACCAGTCTGCCCATAGAGCCCTCTGAGTGCCTCCCTGACCCTGTACATTCCTCCCTGACAACAACAGTGAAGCCATCCCCATGGCCAGCGCCATGACACTTCGAAGCCTCTGATGAACACACTCTGTCCAGTCACCAGTATCTTCTTTTTTTTTTTTCTTGGTTTTTGGTTTTTGTTTTTTTTTCTGGTACCAGCAATCAAACTCACTACCTTGCACTTGCCAGGCAGTCGCTGTGCCGCTGAGCTAAATCCCCAGCCCCTCAGTCGCCAGCATCTTCCATTTGTACTATGCACTATTCTATGACTTTTCCCTTCTTCAATTCTTTTAACCCTCACGACAAATTTATGAGATGAATACTGTTGTTAGCCTTAGTTACTAGATGTCCTAGGACTCTGACCCTCAAAGTGGGCAAAACGCCTGAAGTCACCATGATTATTTAATAGAGAATGAACCCGGACCCATCTGGCTGCACACACCATGTTTTACTTATATATATAAATGTACCCCTATTACTGGGGAGTGGGCTGGCACTGACTGAGTCTAGAGCGTTTGTCTGTTGAAATGGAATGGAATGAAATGTGGTGTGTGTGTATGTGTGGGGCAGAGTGGGTGTTAGTCATGCGTGTGAGTCAGTGGTATGTGTTATCTAAATGAGGAATGTATGCATCATGAATTGGTGTTGGTTTGTGGGTCTCCATACCTTTCCGTAGTGCACCAGATGTGCAGAACCCTGGGATATCCTGGGCAAAGTATAAGACAGCACCCACACCCATTTATTAGGACTGTTATGAAAATAGTTACAGAGGAGCTGATAAGACTCTGATTGGGGAAATGAATCTCCAGTGGACAATTATAAGATTTCATAGAGAAGGAGGCTGGACCTCTGTTCCCTTGTTTGAAAGGACCCTTTTCTTCTTCAAGAAGGAATCCTAGAAGCCTGTGCCTGCCCCCAACCCCGGTGTGAGTATGACACTCACTTCCTGATTCTAGACACGGAAGAGAAAGCAGTCTTGTCCCCTTGAATCCCCCACCAGAATAGTCCCTCTGGATCCTTGTGGGTCTGTGGAGAAATGGCTGTTGCCAAAGGCCTGGACCCCTGGAAAGGGAGGGAGGCTGATTTGGGCCCACCTAACCCCTTGGAGTATGGGAAGCTCTGCCAGCCCTGTTTTCCCATTTGTTCCCCAAATGTAGGAGCTTGAAGCAGGGAAGGGGTATTTGTGTCACAGATGCCGGGGCAACTATCCCAAAACCACTTCCGGAGGGGCTGGGGATTTAACTCAGCGGCAAAGCGCCTGCCTGGCAAGCGCAAGGTCGTGAGTTCTGTTCCCGGTACCGGAGAAAAACAAAAAAAACAAAACAACAACACCAAAACCACTTCCGGAGCTCCTTGCTCTGCTTCCTAGCCCACCAACTGCCAGCTGAGTCTTAAGCCCCTCCCTGGATTTACACTGGACAGGCCCAGGCCCTGGAAGACACTACACTGCCCCCACTTGCCCTGGGGTCCCCTGAAGCAGGATCAGGCCCTGATCTTCCCCGAGAGACAGGCCCTTACCTGGTTGCTAATGTGATCTGGTAGGTGATTCGCCAAGGGGGCTGGTGTTTGAGCCGGTGGTCAGGTGCTGGTGGTGGAAGGGCAGCGGCTTCTCTGCTTGCTGCCTCAGGGAGAGCCCTGCTGGCAAGCAGGTGGCCCTGGGAGAGCAGGCAGGCCCCGTGGTGATGAGGCTCAAGAGGCAGCCACACCTGTGCTCTTTGGACTCCGGGAGGTGGAGAGGCTTCCCAGGTCACCACCCACCCAGCACTGAGCTGGACAGGAAGTGCCTGTTCTGCTGGTTCCTGGAACTTAACCAGAGACCCCTGCTTTTCAGATTCCTCCTTGATGGCCTCTGACCTTAGGTGTGACCGCCCTCAGCCCTCTATGCCTTGTGGGTACCTCCTCTGGGGCCCCTGATTATTGTCAGGCACTGAGGTGGGGAGCAGAAAGAAGAGCCATCCAGTGTGGGGAGTCCGGGTTCTGTGGTCAGGGGACAGGTCAGCTGGAGGCGTGGGGGAAGCTGCGGGCTGGCACATGTGCTGTGTGTCCATGTCTGCTGCACCCATGGGCATGTGAGCATGTGTACCCAGATAGTGTATGTAAGTAGGACACGGACCTGTCAGAGAAAAGGGGTTGGGGGCACAAGACCACCATGGCCATCCATGGAGGGCTGAGATTTCTTTATGACAGGGTTCACCTTGTTCTATCCTTTCTTCTGTCCCCTTTCATCCAGCAAGGAGCCTTCCACCAACTCATTCCTGTTGGTGCTCTTCCAGTCTGTTTCCTCCTCCACCCCACTCCTTGCCCCAGGCCCCTAGTGGATACCTGGCTGACTTCAGCAAAAATGGGAAATTGAGGCCTCCTTCTGTTCATATTCAAGAACCTACCTACCACTGTACTATGTTTTATTTAAACATCTCCCTTGGCAACCTGAGCTGGCCAGGCTCCCTGGGAACACACAGGACAATGAGGGAGGCTACATATAAACAGAAATCAGAGAAGACAGGAGGGGAGGGACAGGAGGGGAAACTGTAGGAATCGATCCTTATGAGACAGATCCGACCCTGCTGGGGTTTGGATCTGTGATGGAGAGCTCCATAGAGTCTAGGACCTGACCTGCACTGCCATCTTTGGCTTCCCTGGACCAGTCCAGCAGATCTGCCCTTTTCCCCCCAGCCAGTACTGTCCTGCCAGCCTGGATTCCAGGGATTGGAGCCTAGCAAGAGGCCTCCTCACCCTGCGCTGGTGTGGGCCCCTGGAAAAGTCCATTGCACAGCCAAATTGTGGCTCCAAGGGTCAAGTACCTGTTGACCAACACCTATTTATGATCTTATGGGACCGGCCCTCCTGATCTCCCTGGCTATCCTGATCCCAGGGCCTCTTGTCTTTTCTTGTTGTTGTTGTTTTTTTTTAAGGCTCAGACACCCATCTCTTTGTTGCCTCTGCCCACAAGTCAGGCCCACCCCCATCAAGGACACCGTCACATCCTACTGTCACTCTTGGCTTGGGTGCCTAGCCAGTACTTTATTTCTACCCAGTGCAGGCCAGGCCCTGTTTTCTCCACAGGCCAGTGTGAGCATAACAGAGATGGCAGGGACAGGGGCTCAACCCACGGCAGGGATCCATGTGACAACTTTGGGCAGAGAAACGATGAGTACCATGGCATCCTCAGCATCTGGTACCCTGCAGCATCCTTTAGGGGTGCCTAGGCACAGGTGGACCTCCTTAGATCCACCCTTTGTAGCTTCTTTGGTGCCAGGCCTTGGGGAGGTCTACAAGAGCAAAGTCCCCCATGGAAGCGAGATGTCAGGAAGGATAGAAAGGCTCAGTCACTTACTCCTGAGGATTTGGTAGTCGATGCTTCTGCACAAAGCTCCAAGAGCCCAAACAATCCTGGTGAAGCCTGAGGAGCTGGGACTCCAGTGGGAAGAGAAAGAAGTAGGACTCAGGGAGTAGCTCCCTAAACTTGTGAGATTACAAAGGTTGGGAAATCTTATTTATTCCAGAGCTTCGTGTGGAATCCAAGCCCTCCTGCCTGCCAGGCACCGTGCTGGGTGCTGGGACACACCTGCAGGATCACAGGTACCTGAGAACCTCAAAACAACTCCACCTCTTCTCCCATATCCCCATCTCAGTGAAGGCACCAGTACCCAGCTGTGTGTTTCAGCAGGACACACAGGCCCACACCAGCGCAGGGTGAGGAGGCCTCTTGCTAGGCTCCAATCCCTGGAATCCAGGCTGGCAGGACAGTACTGGCTAGGGGGAAAAGGGCAGATCTGCTGGACTGGTCCAGGGAAGCCAAAGATGGCAGTGCAGGGGTTGTGTTTCAGCAGGAGTTTGAGCCATTCCGAAGGCCCCATACCTGATCTGCCACCCTCCCGAGAGTCCCACTTCCTCAGCAAGGTGGTGTATAGATCCACCCTCCTCTCATCCTCTGCTTTCTTCAGGCCCCTATGAAACTCTCTGCCTCTCTTTGTACAAGAGTCCCTCACTTGCCCCCTGCCTCTGGTCCTGCCTTCCTCTTGACTGTGGAATCTTCCTTGGCTTGTGGAGTTTGTGCTCCAGAGGTAGAAGAAACAAACGCACATATAGAAAATCAGAGCCCTGCTAAGTGACATTAAAAGGGGGATGTGGATGAGAGCATAGGGGTGAGAAGGTGATCTGGATGCATGAACTTGGAGAAGATGACTCTGGCAGGGAAATCGGAGCTGAGACAGAGGGATGGGGAGGACGTGGGAAAGGGGAGCAGCAGGGCAAAGGTCTCATGGCTGGGAAGGAAGCCAGGGTGGCCAGTGCAGAATGACTAAGGGGAGAGGGCACTGGGCAGAGTGCACGGTCCTGCCAGGAACTGTCTTCAAGCACAGTTGGACGACACTGAGGTTTATGCAGAAGAGCAGCACAGCGTGACCTACCTGTTAGACAGCCTTTCTGGCTGTGATGGGGAGAGCACACTGCAGTGAAGGCGAGCAGTTGCTGCAGTGATGGCAGAGCACATCAGGGACTGGAGAGCAGGAAGGTGGTGAACATGGAGACATGCTGCTGCAGGGGAATGGACCCATGCACTGTGGATGGACCCGAGGGTTGTGAGGAGGAAGGAAGACTTCTGGACAGCTCAGACTTTTGTCTTGGACAACTAAGTGGGTTATGGTGACATTTAGTGAGGAGAAGGTCAGGGGGATGCAGAAGGATGAAAAATTTCAGTTCCACATAGATGGCTTCGTTGTGTTGGGAAAGAAGGAGCAAACTTGAATTGGGAACTCAAGGGAAAAAGGTGCTTGCAGCACAAGCTTCCCAAGCCATGAGATAAAGGACTCCTCAGGGATGAGGGAAAATGTTCACTAGGGAGACAGTGATAGGCGTTTGGGAGCTGTTAAATGCACAAGTTATATCCAGGGGCCAAAGGCTGAGTGAGCCCACCTGGGGAGCGTGTGTAGATGAAGAGCAGAGAACTTGGGCCTGAGGGTGAGCCGCAGATGTGAGGCCTGGAAAGTCAGGAGCAAATGGCCGAGGGACTGGATGGGGGTTGCTGGTGATCTCTGGGAGTCCAGGAGGGCAGAGTGGTTTAAGAAGAAAGGAGGGGACACCTGGGGCAGGTGCTACCAAGAGGGCAGTACCTGTGCATATGTCCCTATGGAAGTCATAGGTGGTCCTGTCACCAATAAGATGAGGGATCTTTTGCTCAATTTGGATAGAAATCATGAATAGGCAAAGTATAGCTATTTTTAGTGGTAACAACCCTGAGCTTACAGTGCCAACAGAGATGCCCTCTTATTGTTAGCAGCTCTCTACCACTCTCCTGGCAGCCAGAGCCAGCAGGTACCAACAGGCCTTTGGAAACTTCCAGTGGTCAAAGAAGGAGGCACCCTGTTACTTTCTGTCATCATCCTCAGGCTGCTAGTTCCCTCAGTGGTACAGGCCCCACCTGCTGGCCACTTTTGGTGCTAGTGGCCTCTGGGGTCACACACTCTTAGTATACAAGATCAGCCTTCTCAAGATGGAAATCACAAATAGGCAAAAATATACCTATTCGTAATGAACTCATCCAAAAGAGGCTTCATTAGGACTTAGGTTGCAGCCTAAGGGGGAACAATACAGGGACTGACCCACTAAAGGTATGGGAGAAACTGTTCGAAGAAGAATAAAAATGTGGGCTTGTACATGTGAAGGGCCAGCTTTTTTATTTAGTCATGGGTAGGGGAGGGATTCCTCATGGGCTTGATTGAGGAAGGCTGCAGAGGGCAGAAACATCCAGGAGGCTGTGGAGTAGAGTTATCTGGGATGGACTCATGACTAAGCTTGCCGCAGACAAAGCAAATGTCTCCCAGAGCAGCTGTGCAGTGTGTAATGTAGCTGTGGGTGGCTGTAAGGTGTTCAGGGCAGCTGAGAAAAAAATAAGTAAAAAGTACTTGGGGAGTGTTGTTTACCTTTTCTCCTGTCTCAGTCCCCTGGAGATGGTGGGGTCAGGAGTGAGACTTGGAGATATTTTCAAATGTGTCTGGGGGAAAACATAGCACGTATTTGCTAGTGGAGAGGCCAGTGAGGCAGCAAATGTGGACAAGTGTGGAGCTGAGTGTAAATGGAGGAGCTGGCCTTGGTGGGAGAGGAGGGGAGGAAGTGAACTTTTCTGACTCCATCCATGAGTCAGTCTCTACTGAGTTACCAGTGCCTGCCCTTCCCCATTAAGACAGAGAAAAGAGGATCGGGGAGGGAGATTTGGGGGCAGATGGCCAATTTTCTGGACCAGGGTAGCATAAGAGGCTTGAGTTTTCAGAAGAGAAATCCAAGCCTATAATTGAGGGGAGCCCTAAATAAACCCTCTAGTTCACTTGCTTTTAGTTGACTTTGAAAACCACTAATACTGGGGGCCATCCAGCTGAGTAATATATTATTAGTCTCCTACTAGCTTTGCTGGAGATGTTACCTGTGATGCGTGGGTTGTGATGATAATGGTTGCCTAGGTTACTTTCAGGGACATGAGGACCATTGTCGTCAGAAGCTCTGACTCCTCACTTGGGCCTACAGATATCTGATGGGTGACTAAAACAGGGCGAAAATGCTTGGCACTTCTGCCTTCATAGTGTCTCTGTCTCCCTTGCTACCTTATCCCTTGGCTGTGCATAGATATATTTGGTATTTGGGGGATATTGGTGCAGAACCAGTGGTATAGTGATGGAGACCACTACAAAGTGGCTCTGAGCAGGATTTAATATTAACCAATTGGCTTTCCATGTTTACTTGTGAGTTGTCCAAAGCACAGGCACCTTGTCTGGAGGTGGGCAATGGACTCATAGTAAGTGAACCTCTGTGAGTCACTAGTCACTGCTGAGCCCTGTATTGGCCTGTGAAGCTGTGATGCCTCAAAGGACAAGATAAGGCCACCACTGAGGATATTTCGCTCCAACCCCAATTAACTACTGCAACTGTAGGCTCCACACTCCTACAATAAATGCCAGCCTGAAGATAAGGTAGTTCTCCTGATTGACATAATTTACTACTTGGGAAAATATTTCCCAAGGTCCTGCTAGATGCCTGTGTTTTCTTGATTATCCTCCTCCTTTGTTTGAAAACCTAATAAATATGAGCTGCCCAGAGAAGTCTTTGTGTTAACCCAGAACATCTCAAATTCTGTAAGAGAGGTGAACCCTCCTGGAGCCCTAAAATTTCAATTGTCTCATTTATTTAAGCCTTCACTGTCCACTCGTTTGGAAGATTGCAGGCCTGATCAGTCTGCAATAACTAAGGGTTATTAACCCCATAGTATAGGTTTCTTAATTCCTCTCTTCTACCTTCAAAGGCAAAGACACCAACATAAGAGTAACTAATATATTTTCAAGATTTACCATCATGACCAACAGATTACTGAACTCCAGTTTTCACAGCATCCTATTCCAAATCAGCAGAGCAGCACCCACAAGTATCCAACTATGGATCTTTTCGTAACTGTCCTCACCCTATCCTCCTTGTCCCAACCCCTTGCCAGGACTTAGACTGGAACTTAGACTAAACTACAATAGACATTCAGGGTGCTGGGGCTCCATCTTCTTGGTTTTGCTGGCTTACAAAATAAGTATTTTCCCTGGCTCCAATAGCTTGTCCTTGACTCACTGGGTCCCTTTTGATGTAATGAATAGATAGAGTTGAGTTCAGTGAAAGGCTCCTGTGCTCTGGTGCTTTCCACTCCCTATCTAGGGGTGGGAGTTGGAAATCGGGACCCAAGAGCCACCCCTTTTTACTAGTTCATCCTGGGTTCCTCAATCTCTTAAGCCCTCAGACCTGAAGCCAGCTGTGAGGACTATTTCTCCTCCCTTTTTCTCATTGTCCTGGCTGTTGGATGTTACCCTAGATCTTTCTCAGCCTCCTGTTCTACACAGATGGATCTGATCCTCCCCAGCCTAGATCCATTACTGAATCCTATGCATGCCTTCCCTCTGCTCTGCATCCATTCCTTCATTCATGTAGATGGCTCTGAGGACTGGATTTCTTGCTCTGACAGCCTTAGTGGAAAGGCCCTCAGGGTGTCCTGAGTATCCTCTGCTAGAGGCCTGGACCTTGGCCTGTGATTCAGGGCAGGCTCTGAGGAAAGCTTAGCTGGAGAAGAACCACAGGCAAGGCTGGGAAAGGACTGCCTCCAGGAAGGAAATATCCTCAGTGACCTCAAGGTGGGCCTTGGCCTGGGCCTAACTGACACACAGGACAGGTGGGGAGAGTTGGGGAAACAGTGTCCTGGCCGTCTGCCTCAGAGCTGGTGGCAGTCAGGTGGGCAGCTTGTGTCCTCTCCCTGGTCCTGGTCCACTGCTGTGGGTATGGAGGGGATTAGGCCTGGACCAGCATGTGCGCTCACTCCTATGATTCTGCTCCTGCCCCTGCTCAAACCATTGGTTGAGCCTGGTACAATGCAGCCATTCAAATCCATGTGGTAAAAGGACAGTCAACGACGTGGAGCAAAGTTCACTGAGTAACAGTACATATAAAACGCAGGCTATAAAACATAAAATCCCAGCTTTGTGAAACAAATACACACACACACACAAATAAACAGTCATAGGAAATATCTAAGTAAAACCTACAAAAAATGAAAACCGAAGAAATATTGCTACTATGTAAATCTAAAAGTAGAAAGTGTTCATGATGCAATATGGAGTGAGAAATGCTTGCTATAAGATGGTAACACTCAATTTTGTAAAAAAACAAGTTACAATAATGGAAATCTAAATGAAGAAAATTGTAATCATGTGACTCTGTTTATTCAGCCCGTGTTCTGTGATGACATCCATCTCTAGGTGCCTAATAGCAAATGTTTGCAACAACCCTTTGAAATGGGTACTAGCATTTTCATCTCCAATTTACCTATCACTGAGGCTCCAAGAGACACAGAGAAGGTAAGTACATGTCCCAGGTCACACAGCCAGTAACGGGCAGGAGTACAACTTGGGTTTAAGAAGCTGAGCTTGTAGAGCAGACACTGAAAAAAAAAAAATCTTATTTTAAAATACATGTGTCGGGAGGGTTTCTCTGAGGTTTTATTTTATTTGTATTTTTTTGTATTTTTTTACTTTTCCCGGAAGAACACATTATGTTTGTGATTGATAGATAGTCATGCCCACTCTGCCCACAAGAAATAAATGGTCATTTAAAAAGCGACAAGACAAAAAAGCATCCCAGGAAGCCACTCTTCCTGGGTAGCTGAGGCACTCTACCTTTGCGACTCTGTCCTGCCTGGGGTTGGTTGTTGAAGGGCAGGATCAGTGACCTAGGAATGGAAGGACTCTGCGTGTGCCCCTCCCTGCCTTGGCCCCAGAGGCCTGGGCTGGGCCTGTGAGGAATCAGCCTCCCCCTCCTGAAGCACCTAAGACCTGGGCTGACCAGGCCTAGCCCTGGTTGGCCTTGAGTGGGGCTGGCTTCTCCGAAGTTGGGGAGGTGTGTGTATGTATGTATGTGTGTGTACATGTATATGTGTGTGTAGGTATGGGTATGTGCACAGCCAGGACAGAGGGATCTGGCACCTTCCCTGTCTCTTGGGCACATACCTCCACACAGAGCAGGGGTGGCTCCCTCACCCCGGCTGCGGCTGGAACCTGCTTAGCAGCCCAGAGCCTGTCACTTCCCCAGCAAGGAGACTGTGTGGTGTCTACGCAGCATGGAGGAAGGGGTTCTGTGTCACAGACATTCAGTTTGAGTCCTACTCATCGTTTGTTAAAATGGCTGACGCTAGCAGGTACCTGTCACATGACTGTATTTCAGCTATGCAGGAGGCTGAGGCAGGAGGACCTCAAGTCTGAGGCCCTCCTGGGCAACTCAGCAAGACCTTGTTACAAAATAAAATAATAAAAAAAAAGTCTGGGGATGTAGCTCAGCACTCCCTGGGTTCAATTCCCAGTACTGGGTAGGGGTAAACATGGCTGATGTGACTGGAAAGTTCACACACAGCATAGGGACCTAGGTCACACGTTTTGGGAGGGGTCAATGAATAGGTCTTCAAAATCATCTTCCCTGTGGGTCCTTCCTGGGTTGCCAGCCCTCTCTGTGGAGGCCCCAGAGCAGCATCTCCTCTGACAGACTTTCCCCAGCTCCTTCAGCCGCCCTGGCACAGTGCAGCTCTCAGAAGGTTCCCATCCTGGTCTCTCTAGAGTGGCTTCTCAACCACCTGGAGCCACCAGACTCCCCGGGCAGCCTGGGTGAAAGGCGAAAGCGTAGACTCCACTCACCAAGGGTCTGGCTCAGGTGGGTCAGGCAAAAGTCTCAGAATCCAATTTTTCGCCATCTCTCCGGGGGTTGCAATGAGAGCAAATGCTCCACCACTGTTCTGCCTTAGGTGTGCCCCTAAGTGTGCCCTTAAGCAGCTTGGATCTGTGAGGCTGTCCCTCCTGCTGCCTCTTGCCTCCCGGTCAGTCGCCCCGTGTGGCCTGTGGGGGTGTTGTGGCCAGGCAGCGTCACTCCAGAGAAGCTTGCTCTGCTCCTGGCTGGGGAGCTGAGGCCAGGAGCCCCACACTCCCCGCCTGTGACCTTCAGTAGCTTTTGTGCCCAGAGTGTTCATCTGCATAGAGGCCTAGGCAGACAGCCTCACAGGGCTCCCAGAATGAACCCGGAGGCTCTGCCTGCGGCTCTGTGCTCTCCCATCGGGCGGGGGTCACAGTCCTGTGAGCAGAGCACAGAGGGCAGGCCACCTCCGCTCCTGCCCTGAGAGGGCTGAGAGGTTCCAGAACACGCCCTTGGTGGGAGTGGGCAGCTGTGGAGTAGGGGCTGCCCCCGGGCTGTGAGCGGAAGGGGTCTGCAGAGAAAATGCAGGGCTGCGCCAGCCCTGAGGCTGACCACGTGCTAAGGAGAGGGTAGGCAGCTGCAAGGCCCCGGGTGGAGCTGTGCCCTCAGAAGGGCTATGGCCTCTGTGACCCAAGACACACATACACTGTGCCTAGCCCTTCAGTGCCCTCTGAATGTGGCCCGCTGGGCTGTAGGGAGAAGTAAGGAGACCCATCACCCTTCATTTCCAGCTCCTCGAACTGTTCATTTTGACACCATGCTCACAGACAGTGAGGTCGGCTCTGCCCATTCCCACACGGCTCCCCAGGCCGGGCTCAGGGCCGAATCCCTGGAATGTCTATCCTCTCTTGGAGGGCAAGGCCCTCAGATATTTAGGCCACATCACTCCTGTAGCCTCCCCACACAGCATCATCAGAACCAGAACCCCAGGTTCAAATGAATGCTTGGAGCGGTTTCCTCATCTGAAATGCAGACACCACCTCTGCTAGTCACTGAATGTGTGCCCTGGACGGGCTCTGCGCCGAGCACTCCACACACCAGGCGCAGGATGGTTGCTGAAGGTTTACTCATCTTGCTTGGCCCCTGGCTGTCTGCAGGGAGGTACGGGGTCCCTCTGCTGTTCCGTAGGTGAACTGCAGTAAGGAAAGGTTAGAACAAGGTCGAATTGGAGGCTGCCGACAAGGTGGGAGGAACCTCAAAGGTGACCTGGTCCAGCCTGGTATTTTACAGTAGAGGAAACTGAGGCCAAAGCCAGCCACTTCACTGGATGGCTTCCTTGAAGTCTGCCTGTGTGAACCCCAGATTGGAGGGATTTCCCTACAGAGGGGAGCTGGGCATTTCAGCATTAATAGGTTCCCTGACTTGTTGACCCTTTTCACACCTCTGGGATTCACAAGGAGTGGCAGAAGCCAGCGTCATGCGAGGACACTGCCGAGACACTGCCTGCCATGCTTTGCTCCTCCCAGGAAGCTGCACTTTGAGGGAAGGGTCTAGGGCCAGAGCCACCCCTGGGAAGGACAGAGGCCCAGTGAGCTGGAGTCTCCCAGCCTGTGCCCCTCCGTGAAGCAAGTGGGAACAGCCTGGCTCTGCCCATCGGGCTGGGAATCACATGGGTGCGTAGAGGCCCAGAAGCGCTTCCAGAGGGGAGCACTAGTAGACCTCAAAGACTCTGGAAATGTAACTTCTCTGTGTCTGCCGTTCATACCTCTTTGTCAGGAGCTGAGAGAGACCTGATGGTTATTATTTCTTTACTTTTCCATAATACTACAAAGTAGATAAGTTAGGTCCACTTCATGAATAGGAAACTAATACCCTGGATCTAGGGGAGGAAGGATAGCAACCCATGCGGTTTGATATGAACGCCTTCCTGCTAACCCCAAGGCCTCATTTTGTTCTTGTCCCCTTCTCCCCTTCTTTCCGACCTCCCTCCTCAATCTTGCTCTCTGTCCCTGGCTGAGTGCTCCAGCTGAAGGTACCTCAGCCAATGGCGCCAGCCCCTGTCTGCCTACACTTCTGGCATCAATACGGGCCCATCTCTTGGTCACCTTTCGCCACTGCCTCTTAGACATTGTAAGCTGCCTTCTCCCCAGTCCCCACTTCTGGCTCCCACTAAGAAAATAGTCACCAAGTTCTGTATGTTTCTTCTTCAGTAAGTGTCCAGAATCTGTCCACAGTTTTACTGCCCTGTTGTCACTGCCTTAATACAGACATCCCACCCCGCAGTCTCCTCAACCTCCTATGCCATCCGGAGGGGTCTCCCTTCTGACTCTTCCCCACCTTTGCCCAAGTTTTGATTTCTAAAATTCAAATCTATGCTTGCCACTGTACTGCTTACAAATGCTTCACTTTTCCCCATTGCTTAAAAAAACCCTTTACTTTGTCCCTGCCCCGTGCTGGTTCACACCCTTCCTGCTCCGAACCCAGGCTCAGGGACTACCTGAAGCTACTCTTCAGGCGAGTGCAGCTGCCTCACCCCACACTTCACTGTTCCTTCTGTCTCCTCACCCTTGTTTACCTGGATAACATTGGTGGATATCTTAGTTGTATCTCCTACTAAACAGTGCTGGTGCCTGACAGTTAATGGGTGGTGATCCCTGAGTGAGGGAAGGAAGGGAGGGAGGAAGGGAAGAAGGGAGAGAGGGAGGGAGGGAGGAAAGGAAGAAGGGAGAGAGGGAGGAAGGGGGGAGGGAGGAAGATCTGGAGTCCCAATACACTCTCAAGGTCATGCCCC